TGTCATCAGAGGGGGAAAGCCCCGCCCAGTAGTGACCGTGTCTCTCTCATTAGCATAAGATGTTAGAATCTGCCAATATGCTGACACAGGCAGTTGTAGCTCCACCTTTTTTTGAAAAGAGCTCAATGTCATTGGATTTTAAAGTGTCAGTCTCTTAAACACCACAATTTGGATCAAATTAAAGGCCTGTTTCNCTCTCGCACGCGCGCACACTCACACACACACACACACACACAAGCACTCAGAAGAGGGAGGGGTCCTGTGGCTGTACTGCAGTGTGTGCGTGAGATTGTGTGAAAAAGTATGGTCTGTGTGTGTGTGTGTGTGTAAGAGTGTGTATGTGCGAATATGTATATGTGAAGTGTGTGTATAAAGTGTGCATGTGTTTGTGTTGATATGAGCCAGTGTGTGTGTGTGTGTGTGTGTGTGTGTGTGTGTGTGTGCGCGCATGTGAAGTGTGTGTTCTGACCTCTTTGTGTGAGGCCGTCAGCTGCTCCTCCAGAATGCNGCATCTCTCCAACGCCACACGCAGACGCTCACGCACCNGATCAAACACACACAAACACACACACACACACACACACATGAAGTGACGCTCTCAGAAACACACATGCACACAAACAGACACACACTCCACCTTCTCATCCAGGGCCTTGTGGTGCTCAAAGAGGGATTTGAGGGCTTTGAGCACTTCCACCTCGCTGGAGACGCCGGCTGGAGACTGAGCCTGCCGCTTCACCACCGTCATCCTGAGGGAGCGCTCGTGTCGAGACACCAGACACTCCAGATGCTCCAGCAGCAGCTGATGGACACACACACACACACACACACACACATCATTAAAGGGTGTGTTCACACAAACATTTCATTTCTGTCATCCTTTACTCAGCCTTCAGTCGTTTCAAACCTAAATGAGCTTCTTTCCTCTGTTGAACACTAAAGAAGATACTTTGAAGAATGCTGGAAACCTGTAACCATTGATCTCCATAGTGTTGGCTTTTCTGACTAACTCAATGGTTACAGGTTTCCAGCATTTCAGCAGTGTGCGAGAATAAGAGAGCATGTGACTCAGTGTTTGTGTGTGTTTGTGTGTGTGTGTGTGTGTGTGTGTGTGTGTACTCACGCGTGTGTTGTTCCTCTCGGCCTTCAGCTCTGCAATCTCCTCCTCTCGCTCCAGCAGTTGCTCTCGACACATGTTCACTTCCTTCGTCAGAGCAGCAAACTCCTTCAGTGCAGGAAACAGCACATACACACTCTTACACACACACATACACACTCTTACACACACACACACACCAGAGTCACACACACACACACACACACACACACACATATTCTCACACACACACACACACACACACACACACACAAGCACACACAAGCACTCAGAAGAGGGAGGGGTCCTGTGGCTGTACTGCAGTGTGTGCGTGAGATTGTGTGAAAAAGTATGGTCTGTGTGTGTGTGTGTGTGTAAGAGTGTGTATGTGCGAATATGTATATGTGAAGTGTGTGTATAAAGTGTGCATGTGTTTGTGTTGATATGAGCCAGTGTGTGTGTGTGTGTGTGTGTGT